CCCCTTTGCTCACCCAGGTGTCCATGGTTACAGGCCTCGTGCAGTGGGGTCCAGCCGCAGTAATCCCTGGGGTTGATCGGGTGGCCCTATTGGAAAAGGCGCATCATCAGCCGCTCAGTGCAGAGACGGGCCGGGGGTCTGCCAACCGGGCCGGGGGTCTGCCAACCGGGCCGGGGGTCTGCCAACCGGGCCGGGGGTCTGCCAACCGGGCCGGGCCTCACCTGCTCCACCAGGAGGCGGACCTGCTTGAGGTTGCCGTCGATGCAGGCCCGGTGCAGGCACGTCTCGCCCTTCTCGTTGCGCTTGTTCCACTGCACACAGAGCCGCAGCATCATCGAACCCCGGCCTTACACAAGCCCCGCCCCCGACACACTGCCTGAAACTCACCCGGGCAGCGCGCCTCCGGCCCGGAACCAGCTTATCATATTCCTCCAGGTCCTCGTCTGCTGGAAGACCCGCATGTCAGCATCACCATTACCATGGTAACACCAACCTGTCCCCCTTCTGGGCCCAGCGTCACCTGAGTCAGACAGCTGGATGTCACTATCCTCCTGAGGCTCGCTGCTGCCCTCTTCCTCCTCCTCCTCCTCATTCTCCTCTCCCTCGCTCTCATCCACAACCCCAAGCTGCAGGAGTCGTGCTTCTGTGTCGGCACACTGGGCCGACCCGGATCGCTGCTGGGCGGCGAGCCACGCCTTCAGGACACGGCGCTGGGGTGGGGGGTAGGACACAGGTGAGCAGTCAGTCACCTGATTAGCCAATCAGCCAATTACACATGATCACTTATGACACAGAATAACAAGACACCCCCTGGTGGCCCCCAAAGCGCAGCACCCTCACCCACCTGCATGGAGTGGAGCCCAGCTCCCTCCACACAGCGCAGAGCTGAGCTGTAGCAGCGCTCCACCTCCTCCGGGGGCGCCCTGCTGTCCTCCACACACATGGCCATGTTTAGCCAGGACTCACACTCCTGCCAGGGGACGAGCACACGGGTGGGTGGGCGGAGCCAACGCACACACACATAAACAGACACGCAGGTGCACACATATATTTATATACACACACACACACACCTACCTCCTTGGGGCCGCCCGGCCTCAGCTCCAGCTCCCGCTGGTAGTGCTCCAGGGCCTCCTGGGGTTTCCTCAGGTCAGTGTAGGTGGCAGCCAGGGAAACGTGAATCACAGCCAGCTCCCGGGCCGGCTTCCCCAGCGCCACTGCACTGGACAGCTGGGGGCACGTGGAAGACAGCAGGAGTAACCGGTCTGCTAAAGAGCAGAGCCCAAGTAATAGCAGGCGGACACCTCCCTGACCAAGCCACCCACCAAACCCTGACCAGACACCTGACTGTGGCCCACATACCTGTGACTGGTAGGCCTCCAGCGCCTTGCTGTAGCAGCAAACCTTAGACAGCAGGTCGCCCAGTTGCTCCCAGAGCCCCAGCGCCTCCTGTGAGGGCCCGGCGCCCAGCTCCGACAGCGCCTCCTCCAGCTGGCACCCCCGAATTGCTGCGGAGATGCGGAACGCGGAGATCTTCACCACCTGCTGCGGAAGTGTCCCGAGACTGTCAGCGCGGAAGCGTGACACCCCACCACACGCCCACCTTGCTTCAGCATCCGCCTGACGGCCTGTCTGTCTGCGGGATGCTGTGAGCCCAGGGTGAAGGCCTTCTTCAGCGAGCGCCGGGCAGCGGCAAAGTCCCCCAGAGACAGCAGCACCTGGGCCACGACGGCAACGGTCACGCCAGTGCACCAATCGGGCAGGTGCCTCCCTACGGCGCTTCAGAGAAATGCCAACGACCACAGGAGCCTCAAAGCCAACCATCACGCAACAAAAGCGGGTATCAGAGGCACAGACGAGCACTAACGACGAGTGCCTCTTGTTTCAGGAACCTAACCGGTGTCAAGTGCAAACAAACGAACAAGCGAGTATCCTTATTGCCACCGAGATGAGTCTTTGATCTCTTTGGTCGTGGTGATAAACAGAATAACCAGGACAGCTAAACATAAGACAGAAATACAGTCAAAGACACATAAAAAAATAGACACAAATATGCAGTGAAACTGTCGGACGGGTGAGCAGTTAACAGACGTCAGCGGAGGCGTCACCTTGCCGATGCTGCTGCAGCACTCGCTCTCGCCAAACCTGTCCTTCATCCTGCGGGCGCAGTCCCGCGCCTGCTCCAGGCAGCGCACCGCCTGCGACGGCCGCTCCCGCCGGAAGTGGATGCTGCCCAGGTTGAAGTTGGCACGATAGAGGTCCTCCAACAGCTGGTTCTTCCTGCGAGGACAGACATGGGGGGGAGCAGGGAGAGATGAGACAGGGAAGCCGGTTGTGACAGGAAGGCGGGCTGTGGGGGGAGGGGTCGAAGGTCAGGAGGCGGGCAGCCCCTCACTCAGCGATGAAGATGCTCCTGCGGATGAAGTCGCTGCACCGTTCCGGCTCCTTCAGGCCGTCGTACACGAAGCCCAGGTTCAGGAAGAGGCGTGCGCGCATCTCACTCAGCTCGCGGGCCGGTACTGCGCCTGCAGGGGGCACAGACGAGGTGAAACTTGTCAGTGCAGCCAGAAAACATGCTTCATCTTTAAGGACTCAGCTGTGCTACAGACTACAGCGTTGTTCCACATGACGCCTCTAAACATGGACTCCCAAGCAAGCACGCTCACCTTCCAGACGCTCATCAACGATGGAGAGGCTCTTCCGGAAGGCGTCCTCTGCGTGCTGCAGGCTCTCCCGCGACTGGTCCGACTCAAAGCGGAACAGGAAGGTCCGGCCGATGGTGGCCAGCGCCCGCTGTTCCTCGGCAGAATCCCGGACCGAGCGCGCCAGCTCCAGGTGACGGCGCTGATGCTGGAGCAAGGAATCGGCGACTTGTCAACCCGCGAGCTGGGAATGTGTCAGTCAGACACGCACAAACGCCACTTGCACACACCATGAGAGAGTCATCTGTCCATTACGAATAGAAACCAGATAATTTTTCTATTTATTATTTGTATGGGGGATAACTCGGACGACCTCACCTTCAATGCGGCCTCGATGTTGCCAAGCTCCGCAAAACACTCCCCTATCTTGCGATTGGCCACGGCGCTGCCAATCACATCCTGTAGGACCTCTGATAGGGCGAGTTCCTGCCGATGTTCCTCAATGGCAGCCTCAAACTCACCTGAGAGAGGCAGCAGAGTGCTCACTGACCCTGACCATTTCATAAACTTTTCAGTGTCTATCTGCAACATTAACCGAGTCTGATGATAGAAGGTTGCTGCTAATGACAGACCGTCACAGAGACACTAGAGCACAGTGTGCAGTACGAAGCATCTCCCTCTATCCGGACCAACACTGGGGCCGGCGGCTGTGTCTCACCGATGCGGGCCAGGGCTTCTCCCAGCTGGTTGCACAGACTGGCTTCTTCCTTGAGGTTGCTGGTACTCTGCGCCTTGATTTTGGCTTTTGAAAGCTCTGCATTAGGAGTCAGAAGGGAAAAGTGTCTCGATATCAATTGTGTTCGTTACTATATAACTAAATCATAATATCACCCTTGACTGACACTAGAGTGTTTATTGTGTGTAGTAGTGGAAAAAAATAAAGCTAGGTGCCGTTTCAGCTACTATCACAAACATTAAAGGAATATTTTTATAATAAAATTTAACACCGTGATCTACATAAGCAGCCTACACGCAAATGTCCTCTGTAAGTGCGGATATCATCATAAAATGCATGCCATGCAAAATAACTTTTTATGTGACAATGAGTAAAATAAATTCACTGGGCAAGTACGTTCGCGAAGAAGCGAATGCGTTTGTTGAGATATTTAGTTAGCTCACGTTTGATCTCCCGCGTCGGACTCATCCTGTCCACTCGGATACAACGACGTAGCCAGGTCGCTGAAAATGACAGCCAAGCTGTGAAAGACTCTCATCCGCCGGGTCTCGCAAACTCCTGCTTCCCGGTGACACGATCACCGCCGGATCCGGACAGACATCGACAGCCGCCCAAGAAATACCGGCGATTCTTCCCGGCTCCTACTTCGCCATCCTGCTTTCGCGTTCGCGGGACGGCTCAGCCAATCACAGTTTCTGGGATGCGCTCATTGGCTGATGCGAGTGTGACGAAAATATCCCACAATGCACTTATATGAACCGGATGGATTGTTGTTAATGTAGTATAGATTCGATTGTTGTTTTTTGTAATCGTTTTTCTCACTGAATTGTTTTTGTTCAACTTTTCTGGTGGTAAACAACCGAGTGTAAATGAAAATACTGCATATAATTAATTACGCGCATTCCGTGTATTTGTAGAAACGCTTGAAGGACTAACGCATCACCCGGCTGCACCTTTCTGCTGATGGGAGCGCGAGACTGAGCACTGAAACCATCCTACCAGTTTAGGCGGGAGCGTGAATAAAACATTAGCACAGCTCCGCTTTTCCTCTGGGGCGGTGTTCTGTCATAAAATACTACCTACCGAGACGTGCTATCGAGCCTTTCTGCGCATGTACAGTTCCACCGTTTTGGAATTAGGGTTAGGTTCTGGCGGTTAGGGTAAGAGTTAGGGTTAGGGCTATCGATTAGCACTACGGTAGCATTTTTCGACAAGGCAGCACATATCGACAGAACAGCGAGTCGTCGTAAGGTTTGCTGTGGCTCCCTCCCCCCCGGAGATTAATTGGAGTTACCAAACTGCTCATGGGTGTGCGCAGGGGCGTTGCTTAAGATTTTGGGCCCCAGATCAGCAGGTTGATGGTTGGCTGGGGATTATTTGGGCGAAGCACAGCCTAAAAAGAGGCGGAGAGTTTGGACGGAGCGGCGGGAGGGGAGGTAAGTCTCGCTTCTTTCATACTGGAGTCAGTTTGTGGATGATGTGATTTGGAAGAAGGTCTGGCTTCTCCCTAATAAATATTTAATTACCAATAAAATTAAGGAAATTTATTTTAAACTTATTCACAGATTCTACCCAGCTAAATGGTTTATTAAACGACGGTTTAAAAAGGACATTGATATTACCTGTAACTTCTGTAATGAACACCCGGAATCTGTTGTGCATTTGTTTTGGCATTGCCCTGTTGTCACGAATTTCTGGCAAAACCTCTGTAATTTTATTTCTGAACGTATTGTTAAAAACTTTATTTTACTGTGGAAAAACGTATTGTTTGGTCTCACAGAAAATGACACATTTAAAAAGTCTCATGTTTACATAATTAACCTTATTATTTTGATGGCAAAATTTCATATTCATAAATGTAAATTTGCGAGTAGTAAGCCATGCTTTATTGCCTTTGAGAAAGAGTTCAAGCAATACATCTGTTCGATTAAGTACTCTTCAAAACAAAAGGCAGTTAGGACTTTAACGGCTTGTTCTGTATTAGGAATCTTTATATAGATGATCTTTTTTTTTCTTTCTTCCCCCCTAGCGTTAAACTCTATATTTGATGTTTTATATTGGACTTGTATGTCTGCTTGAAGTTAATAATAAAAAAAAAAGTCTCGCTTCTTCCGTCCGAAGTGAACGACGCTGTGTCAACGCCTTGGATCCGTTGGGGGGCGGTAGGTGATCGGAGTCGTACGGGTTCTGATTGCTAAAACTGGGTTTTGAAACTGATTACTGAAATTGGTTAGATGTTGTTACCGTTTTGGTTAATGCTATCCGAAAGTAGAGCGCTCCTGTGAAACCTTTTGTAAGCTGAAATGGTGTAAAGTGATGAAGCAATTACCATTAATCTATATCGGAAACATTTCCGAGTGTTTCCAGACCCCAAAAAGCTTCAATTAACGGAACCAATACTGCCATGCGCTGCGTAAGGACAGGGATGCGTTCCGAGAAAGGCATTGTTAGGTGGCTTTGTTGTTGTGAGAATGTCATTGTGCACTTACACAAACGTAGATGCTAATGTCTACTGCACACTTAGGCTATATGGTATAGCCTAAACAACGATAAAAAAAGTACAGGAAATGTACTGTACAAAATACTGGATAATGATGATAAATGTATGTGTTATAATTGTATTCACACCAGCATCACCACAAACACACGAGTTATGTGCCATGATGCTACACTATGATGTCGCTAGGCGGGATTTTTCAGCTCTACTATAATCTTTCATTCCATCAACAAAAACAGATGCTAATGTAGGTCTTTCATAAATGCGGAGTGGTGTAAAGCGAACGTTCCTAAAGCGGGGGATACCTGTGTTGGGTTTCCTAGCTGATGCGTGTATCGAAAAAGCTGATTCAGTTCGTTTCAATCGTATTTGTATAGTGCATTTTCACAATATTACATCCTCTCAAAGTGCTTTACATTATCCCCGACAGTGTCAAGGAAATATTCTTTGGGAGGAACCAAACTCTTAGGGGGAGTCCGTCCTACAGGGGCCAGCAGAGGAAGTCAAATGAACAAGATGGCAAAGTCCCAATTCACACTGACCAAATTTTAAGATTTGCAGGGGGCAGACATGCCGATGCTGCTTGTGGTAGAAGGATGAACAGTGGTACAGCAGCAAGGAAGGAAGGAGAGACGTCACAAGGACAAGGGCGGGCAGGCCGGAAGGACGTCACAGGTAGCAGAGACGTCACAGGCAACGGGTAGGCAGAATATCTTGATTTTGTTTTGGAGGGGGGTCTCCAGGCAGCACATCCCAGGAGGGGTAGGAGAAATAAAAAAGTGCATTAGCCAAAGTAGGGGAGACTAGAGGCAGTGCAAACAGTTAGGTAAGTGCAATGTGCAAGCTCCGGCAGATACGGCTATGGCAGCATAAGTAGGAGGGAGAGGCAGGTGGGAATGCAGGCATGGGGAGTCCCTGAAAATGTCAGCATCCAATTCCTCAAGGGGGTGTGAATCTAGAGTTTTCAGTAAATCTGAGGCTTCTGTTCTTGCTGATTTAATGGTCTGTCTGTGTCTTACACACAGACCTGGCTGTGTATCTCATCTCCTTCCCCCCTCTCTAGTGTCTGGAAGAGCTGAACCTGAGTGCTAACCCTCTGGGAGACTGGGTATCGCAGCCTCTCTCCTCTGTCCTGTCAGCCTGCCCCCTGCTGGCCACTCTGTCCCTGCAAGCCTGTGGCCTCACTGCTCGTTTCCTGCAGCAACATCGCCTCCTGCTGGCCAGCACACTTGCGGGTGAGCCTTTCCTGACCCTCGTTCTGTGACCCACTATGTTCTGGTCGCCTTAAATGGACCTCAGGAAATTAAAAGAATTTAAAGGGCCAGATGCTCAGTTGCCCCCCCCACACACACACACACACACACACCCCTGCTGCGATGTGCAGCTGGCGGGGCTTACAGTCCAGCAGAAAGAGGAAGCCCCCATCCTTAGGCCTCTTTAGATAGGTCTGTTTCTGCCTGCTGCCCATATGATTCTACGATCTTTATACCGACCTGGAGGTCCTGAACGCTTAGCCTTCTCTTACCAGCACCCATAATGACAGTGTGCCCCATCCAGGTACGGGCCACCTTCGCTCGGTGTGCCTTTCCCACAATGCACTGGGCTCCACCGAGCTTGAACTGGTGCTGAAGAGCCTGCCTCTTCACTGCCTGACTCACATCCAGCTCTCGACCGCACGCACAGGCCCAGCTGACCTCCCCGGCGCTGCTTTAGCTGTTAATCATGCAAATCTAACCATTAATCAGATTATCAGCCATTTCCTACAGAGTTTTACTGGTAGCTTCATATGCGGAGAATTTGTTTGACGTTTTGGTGACGGATGTGTAAAACCCTAACCCCACCTTTTCACACTTCATGTGTGAACTGTGAAGAAGATCGCACGGGAAATTGCACTCATGTGCACCGTCGTGCTCCTGCCAGGCCCCCCAGCCCCCCGCAGCCCCCTCCAGCTCCCTGCAGCCCTAGACTGCGCAGAGGCCCCCTTAGACTGCGCAGAGGCCCCCTTAGACTGCGCAGAGGCCCCCTTAGACTGCGCAGAGGCCACCTGCTCTGCCGCTGCGGCGCTGCCTCGGCTCCCAAGCACCACTTGGTTTTTGCAGCTTCGCTGCGCCACTCAGAGTTCACACTGATTGGCCTTTCACCTTGTTCGCTGACCTTGAGCAAAGCGGCATCCAATCAGATATAATCTTCAGTTTGTGCCGGGTAGGTCTGGCGACTTGGAAACCAAACTGCTTAACAACATGGAGGAGAAACTAATAATCGCAGTATCCTGAGTTAAGTGCAGAGACAGGGATAGCAGGTTGATTTTAGTAAGCATATTTAGCTAATGAAACTAAACACACTTATGTTTTGACCTAACACTGAGAGATCAAGAGCCTTTTTTTGGCTTCAAGCCACAAAACACTTTATAGTCGCACATTTTTATGGCCAGTGCCCGTTCGTGGCACTATTCACCCACTCAGCACCTTTCAGAAGCACCAGGGGGTTTGCCGCAAATGTTTCGCCTGTGCCAAGCGGTTCGGCGCTTGCTGTGTGGACATCGCCGTGGGCTGTACTCACACTCGGCCCGGTTGCCATGTACCGTGCCTGAGCACGATTGTCCCCCCTCCCCCATTGATATCGCTCACATTGCACTTAATGTTTCGGGCCACACTGCACCTCTTGTCGTCATGTTCGTTACATTTTTGTTGCTACCCAGTCTGCCTGACCCCCTGCTCCCGTCTAACGTCACGCTCACTCTCTGCCCCCCTGCCTGGTACCCGCTCACGTTTGGCTTCTCTCGCAGGGGCACTGCACCGTGCAACATCTGAGCTTGTCTGCCAACGGCCTGAGTGACACGGACGTCCTGTGCTTGGCCAGGTGTGTTTCTGCTCCTTCTCTTTGCCTTCAAAATGCATGACATTTATTCAGCAGATGTTTTTGTCCAAAGCAGCATACAGTTGAGAGGGCAGAGTCTGACAGTCCCTGGAGCGGCTCGGGGTTAAGGACCTTGCTCAGGGCTCCAACGGTGACATCACACTGCCGGCCCTGGGGTTTGAGTCGGCAGCTTTCTGGTCACAGAAGGCACCGTAACCTCAAGTCAAGTCAAGTGTGTGAAACGGTGTCACTGAAAACCACGTCCAGCAGAACGGTGTAAAAATGCCGGTTTTCCACATGCTGCATTTCGGAAGAGGCACAGCAGTGATCTCCTGCGTCTGAGGGCAGCGTCTCAGTGTTTATTCCCCCCCCCTCCCCCTGCCAGGTGCCTGCCCCTCTGCCCATCTCTGGAGTCCCTAGACCTGTCGGGGAACCCCGGTGTGACGGAGGCTGGGTGCACTGAGGGACTCGGGGCAAATGCTGGCCTTCCTTGACCTGCAGGTTAAGACTGACACCCACGCCGACTCCACACTGACCTCACGCAGACCCCCTACAACACGAAATGACAGGAGACGTGGTCCTGCTCAGACAGAGAGTCGTATTGTGTGGGAAGCATCGTCATGGAAACACAAACCTATGTGGTGTTGGTGTGCATGTTGTGTGTCTGTTCATTTTCTCCTGTGGTTGAGAAGTTGTTGCTGTAATGCTTATTTTGGGCTGTACCTGTCATCATCTGGAGGTTCTGATATG